AGTCGTAAAATTGACCATCTGTTGAAGGACTGCTGAAGAGCTGAATTAAACCACAGCGTTCAATTCTGCATGAAATGAACATTTATGTCTTTCTTCATCTAGATATTTGTAATTGTCACATAGAATGTATTATAATCATCTTTTTAAACTCCAAATCTGATCTTCAGAACAGCAAAAAGAGTTATGTTATGTTTAATAGGAATTTGACGTGGAGCGCTATTGCCATCTAGTGTTAGAATATCCATGAATACGTAACCTTCATAATTATACATTTAGTCGTGTTATAAAGCATACTCTTTGACATTAGCTATAGAAGGTGTTATTTATGATTACTATTAATAACTATTCATAGCTGTAAATGTATCCTTCCTTAATGTCCTTCCTTTTCTTTTGTTTGTTCCACAGTGATGTGGACCAGCACTTACCCGCCCCTCAGAGGAAAGGAGCCCCCAAGACCTTTAACCTCTGCAAAGAATGCAAGTGAGTGTGCAAACACCATCACTGCTTCATGACTGCCATCAGATGAAGGGATTACTCACCTGGTTGTGTATGTGTATCTTAGTTTGAATGTTTTTGTTTTTTCACAGTAATACGATCATAAAAGTAATGCAGAATTACTCCCAAGCCTGGAAGAAGCAGGAGGACAGTTTTAAAAAATTCAGGTAAACCAAAAAGGTTGTCTTGGTTTTGAACTTTAAAGGGAAAAAATAAAAGAAGGTAAGAATTACTTACTTTTAAGTTACATGACGCTGGGTGGTAAAGGAGGTCAAAAGGGTAATAAAACCCAACATAGTGCCTAATAAGATGGCCAAGTGTGATTAAAAGGTTAAACAGAATGAAACATGAATTACATTATAGAACTATTACCAGTGTTTGGCCTGTTCCAAAAAAAAACACAAGGGTTTTGGTGCCCAAAGCAGCTGCTATTTTTATCCATGCCCCTCAGAAAACCTGAGTCTGCCTGTGCAGATCAACAAACACAACTTGGTTACATCTGAGTCCATTTGCATTGTGATAGGAGCCCACAATATACACGATGGGTCAAATAAAGATCATCAAAGGTTCCTCCACAGAATGAGAGTTAGTCACTTTTTATAAGAAAGAGGGGAGGGGGAGATGTACAGGCTTCTAAAATCCCTCTTTGGGCCTATTCCATGTAACTTTACTAGCTGGGTAAGTAAAGAGATAAGAGAAGACAGAAATGTCAATCACACAATCAAGGTTAAGATATAACCCAATAATTTGAATGGCTAAAAAAAGACTTTACTCTTTGCATGTTTTACTCGAGGACAAGCTCAGAAAAGATGAGCCAGAGTGCCCTCGTCTGATTGTCACATATTAAGTCTGTCCTTGAAAAATGAATGTGATTCATGACCTTAAACTGTAAACACTGAATGTTTGAACAAAATCAGAATCTGTGCAGGATCAGAATAGTTTCCTCTTTAGATGGATAGAAAGAAGAACAGCTGAAGAAGTGGGAAAGAGAAGTGGAAATACATGTGGAGTGAAGTTGAGGAACTTCTCTGTAAATGTTAAACACTTGGTCTAAATATAACACAAATTAAAATCATGTGTGTGTTGATAAAACAGAGAGGACTTTGCCTGAAACACACATGACTGCCCTTAATGTTTATTTGCTCTTTTAAAAAAACTAAATAAATAAAAAAACATTTGAGGGAGCATCAAAACATCAGAGTCACTAGTACATGGTTTAACAAAGTCCTTGTGGTTCCCCAGATCTCAGCTGAGCAACAGCTGCAGTGGTTTTGACAAAGCCATCCTTAACCAGGCCAACACTGTAGTGGAACCAGAACTCGTTGATGAGAGAAAGTACAGCTTCCAGGTGTCTCCGGAGGTTTTCAACACCTTTACAAAGGTATTTTGTTTGGCACTCATGAATATAACCAACACATCCACAATATCTGCTACTTGTTTGGCATTGTGATTGTTCCTGTAATGTCTGACTAAAAGATTACACATTAATTAAACGAAACATTAAATAAATACAAAAAACAACTTAGCATACACTTAACATGTGTATTTACACAATAATATGTTGGTAGACTCGGGATGCCTCGAGCTAGCTGGAGGGTTCACAGAGCTCCTTTGCTAATACAATCCCTGTCCTTTGAGCCAGACATTGGGCATAGCCAGCTGATAGCACCGCTAGCCGCGGGGCTAACTGTGCTGCAGCTGGAGGAAGTGACACTTAGCAGCTCTTAACTTAAGCTTTCTTACTCTCTTCGGTGCATGCATGGCTCTGGATACGGTGGATGTGGTGAAAAATTGAGGGATTGCTGAGGTATCGAAATATTGTGAGGGGATTGCGATTTTCTGTACAAAGTTTCATGGCAATCCAGATTATTATTTCTAGTTACTGAAACAAAATGTGTACTTTGTTATGCTGCAACTGGAAACAGGTTGACAACAAGGTTGAACTATTAATCCACATGAATCCATCTGATTTTCTTAAACGAAATAATACACCAACATATTTTTAAATTAAGTGAAAACGTATGAGGTATTTGAAACTCAACTCTTTCCACAAATAAATTGGAAGTGAGGAACTCTTTTCAGTCCAAATCTCAGGAAATGATCTCCCAACCGCTTACAGCATGTATGTACACAAATTAACAACTGTGTCATCAGCAAGTTTAAAGCTGCCAGTATACTTCACAACAAAGTGATATACTGCTGAATTTATCCATTAAAAACAAGTGTGAAGCCCAAGTAGATGTTGGAAATTAAAACCTGAAGACTTCCAGGTGCACTCATATTTCAGCTGGCAACCTCTTTCAGGGGTGTCTGCTGCAGGGCATTTCCAAGAGGGAAACTTTTGCAAATGAGATCCAGCAGTAAAGTTGATCTACTGTATTATATCATCAGTACAATTATCATTATGTGGTAATACATAACCATTGATTACAATTCCAGGAGCATCCTTTCTCAAATAAAACATGGGACACGTGTTCTGTTGTCGGGAACGGAGGAATCCTGACTGACAGCAGCTGTGGAGAGAGAATTGATTCAGCTCAGTTTGTCATGAGGTGAGAAAGGTGTCCATTGTGGTGACAATGTCAACTCACAGTGTCAAAAATCATTTATGTTGAGATTCCATAAAAAAGATCTCTGACTTTTTTTTCTTGCTTCTTCAGGTGCAACCTTCCTCCTTTGGGAAATGGTTATGAGAAGCATGTCGGTGTCAAAACGGACCTTGTGACAGCGAACCCAAGCATCCTCAGGGAGAAGTGAGCAAGAGGCTGGATTTCACTTCACTGTCATTACAGAGTTCTTTTGTCTTGTTGATGTATATCTGCTGTTTTGCCTCCAGGTATGAGTCTCTGATGAAGCGTCGTCGTCCGTTTGTGGAAAGTCTGCATATTTACGGCAACTCCCTGCTACTCTTTCCCTTCTCTCGTGGAACCACTGCTATGTGTCTGCGGGCCATCTACAGTGTTGAGGACTTAGGAAGCCCCATTAGGCCCGTCTTCCTTAACCCTAAGTACTTCCGCAGACTGGGTGCCTTCTGGCGTGCACAAGGCTTGGGATCATCATTGATGAGCACCGGGATAATTATGGCTAGCATAGCTTTGGAGGTCTGTGAAAATGTGCATCTGTATGGGTTCTGGCCCTTCGATAATCACCCCTATGGACTCTACGACCTGACGAACCACTACTATGATGACAGAAAGCTAAAAGTGTCCACGCCATGCCCAAGGAGTTTGGGCTCCTGATGCAGCTGCACAGACAGGGGGTGCTCAAGCTTCATCTGGGAGATTGTCAACGGTTATGACTATGAGTCATAATTGTATATAAGTGTTATTATGTCGGTCTGCTTTGTGTTCGGTGTTTTGTTTGTGCGTCTGTCTTTCTGCTGTGTTTCAGGTGCCCAGCCCTGATTGGAGAAACCCGGATGGTTGCTAATGTTTTCTGCAAAACAATTACGATCCAATCTTTTTATTAACGCTTCAAGTGTTCATCAGACACATGTTCACACAAGAATGCATTCCTTTGAATACTTCTATAAACATGTGGACTGGAGAGCTGTAGGGTTTTTGTACTATTCCAACTCTGCTTTTTTATTATACAATTATGTATAACTGATATGTAACTCAGTTTTTGGTTTGACATTATTTTGGTTTGTTTGCATACTAGTTAGATAACAATATGTGTAAGTAATCTAGTTAAGATAAATCTGAGACTTGCTCAAGAAACGGTAATTTCTCATGCTTTAATTTTGTATTTTAGAACATGTAATGCAAAGGTTACCTTGCTTCCTTTTTGGTAAAAAAAAACCCAGACTTTTATTTTGAAGCAACTTCCGGTTTTCAATGTTGTTTAGGTAACTTAAGTTCGAGAAATGAACGTGATGTATGTATTAAGAGATGGTAAACAACAAAAAAGTTACGGTAAAAGGTGAATGTTAAAGTTTTGCAGCCCCCCACCGGACAATAATCTCTTACGGTGGTTTTGAATTATGTGTGAGCTTTACAATAAAGCAGATAAAAATCATCAGTTGAAGAGTCTATCTTTCGAAGGGTTTTCTACAATATAATACAGAATTTGATTAATTTCTGACACATGATCATGTAGTGAAGACATGATCTTTTTTTTCAGCTGCACAAAACCACAAAATACATCGTTTGTAGTTTTGTAACCTAACAGCGGACATCTCTCTATCTCTCTCTGGTCCAATGCAGAGTATGAAGTCAATTGGAGGTGCATTTTTTTTCACAGAGACATTGTGAACTGCAAATTCGTTGTTTGGTGTTTAATCACTGGGAGTGAGGAAGGAGAGGGTCACTTTTATGTTACAGCTGGTTTCCCCTAGGCTGGTCATAACATCAACAAAGAAAAAAGTAGACCCATGGACTACTTTTTGCAAATGACGGCTCACTTGACCGCAGTACACTCCAGTCAGGTGTGCACTGTGCACAGGTGACGACAGGCACACAGTTATATCCCATAACCGACTCATAACCACAGAGGGTGGGGCAAAGTCGTGGTTCGTTAACAAGGCTAATAAATTACCTGATGCTCCGAACAGCATCAGACACACAAAGAGCAGGAGCAGAGGGGTTTCATCTGAAGTGCATGGCACGAAGGTTACACGAGGGGGAAGTTAAACTCAGGTTCGGAGAAGCAACTTCAGCCGAGTTGACTCACCTTTCTAAGAGACGCACTCAGATCCGGTCACCGTCCACCTTCTGTGCGTAAAAGCGCACAGCCGAGACAGAACTTTACGCGCTCCAAGGAGACCTTCCTCCAGCCCTCCGCGCTCGCTGGCTCTCAGAGACTTTCCCCGTCAGCCGGTTCATGACTTTCACAACCGGTTCTGCTGAGTAGTGGCCGATCCGATCCAGAGCTCCGGGTCCCCCATGAGGCTAGAGGCCGCAGCCAGGGTGGATCTGATCAGGAAGCTGTGGAGGGCGAGGAAGCTGATCCTTGTGGTGCTCGTTCCGCTGTCCCTGCTTCCCCTACCGCTCATCCACCCCACGATGGAATTTTAAGGTCCTTAAATTAACAAATAAAGTTCAAGTTACCCAAAGATGCATTTAGACTTTGTATTGCAATTCAAGTAATTCAAGTAATCAAAATGGCAGTATTGTGTACCTTAGATATAAATTAAGACCATTTCATGATATGGGAGATTGTTTTGCCCCTTTCAAGGGACCCAAGGATCAATACAGAAAAAACAAACAAAACAACACAATATAAGTATCATTTATAAACGCAGAATAGGTTGCTTTCTGATTAGCACTAAGTTTTATCAGACTATTAAAGTTGCTTAAAGTGACTGTGTAAAACAAGCTTGCAGATAATTGAAAAGCTAGATACACTAGTTTCAACTACAACCTTCTAAGCAACAAGTATGAAGAATGTCTTCCATAACTCCTTATAACCATGGTTTTATTCAATCCATGAAATCTCAGTAAATTAATTCACAGGCAACATGATAATTACCTTCAAGAAATCAGAAACACTCGTAGACAGAAACCATCCACATGATGTGTTGTTGTTCCTCCTTGTTGTTTCAATGGCTGCAGTTTCCTGATGGGATTTGTAGTGTGTGTGTGTGTGTGTGTGTGTGTGTGTGTGTGTGTGTGTGTGTGTGTGTGTGTGTGTGTGTGTGTGTGTGTGTGTGTGTGTGTGTGTGTGTGTGTGAGAGAGAGAGAGAGAGAGAGAGAGAATCAATCAAAAGCACTTTGTCCTCTGTTCTGATGAGTGCTTGTCCCGGTCATCAGCTGAGATGTGTGTGTGGAGAGGAGATATCGTGACATGTTGATGAGATGGAGATCAGTAAGAGACAGAAAGAGTGAACAACATGACACTCACACTCAGTTTGATAGTTTTCTGTAAGAGACACTGAAAAGAACAAAATCTGTCTCATATTGCCGGCTCGGCTTGTTTCAAGTCTCAAATGTGAAAGAACATGGGAAACAACATCACACTCTGAATAAATCTGTTCAGAAGTTGTTGCTCAGAGTTTTTAAAGGTTTTATTCTTGTTGCCTTTACTTTTGACATGACTCATCTATTTGACTCCTGTTTCAATGTCTTAATGCAGTGTTTTAGGTTTGTTTGTCTCAGACTTTCTGTTTCAGAGGTTGTGTTTGGGGTTTTAGAATTAAGTCAGGATCATGTTTCATGAGGCTCACACCTGTGAGATTTGTCTGGTTTAATGTCAGGAATGAGCATAAACTCCCTCAAGTGTCAACATGCTCCAAGAAGTGACATCCTGTGGAAAGCGTGTGCTGCTGTGTCATATCTTGAGAAAAGCTTGACTGGGATTAGGCTCAAGTATGAGGATGAGCAGTACGGCCAAATTAAAAGTTGTATAGTACCACTAAATCAGAGTCACAGCTCTCTCCGATTTTTTGAAAACTCAGAAGCATGTGAAAGGAGTCCTACTGTTGGCCGGTTGGGCACTTGTAGCTTAGCATAGGTGTGAATAGGCTAATGTGAATTATTTATATTTTTTTCTCTCTCAAGAGTGTCCTGACCAAGACAGGCTGCACACCCATTTACAGAGTTCCACACAAACAATGAGCAGCCACACATACAAATAAAAAAAAACAATTAGAAATTAAAAGCAGATTTAAACATCAAATGTTTGTCAAGATCATCCACAAACATATCAGGGAGATCATCTACAGCCAGATGTTTCTGCCTCCAAATCATTAAACATGTTCTTAAAAGCATCCAATGAGAGCAGCTCATTAAGTTTCAGCTCTTTTTGTAACTTCGACGCCTTTTTCCACAGTTCAGTTCCGACTTTTGGACCAGACAGTGAGAAAAGGGTCCCGGTACTCCTCTGACTGATGGAGGTCAGAAGGTATGAAGGAAGTCAGTGAGGGCACGAGGAAAAACATTAATTGGGGGCCCCCCTCCAACCAGCGTTCATTATTAATTCTCCTTTCTTTTTTCCATCCCATGAAGATGAAAAAAATCTTTGTTGTTCTTCCTGCATTTATCCCATTTTCAAGCCCGGCAAAGTGTCGGTAGATGTCTGTTCACCATGAGCTAAATCATGCATCATTGCTAAATGTCGCTAAATGCTTTGTGCTCATGACGGATTAACACTGGGTCTTTATAAACAATGAGTATGGTCTTTTACCTGCTTTCTAATTGGTCAGAAAGTACATAATTATGTTTCATGCTCACACATTTAAAATTACTAGTTTCTCATAAAAACTAAAGCTTGCGCAGAGTTTTCATTTTGCCTATCTATCTATCTATAGGAAGCTACGATAAAAATCATTATCTGGTTTCTCAAAGTGCTCGGTCAGAAATAACACATTTTCTCTGCTCAAACATTTAAAAACTAGTTTCTCACATAAACGAAACCTTGTGCAGAGTTTTCATTTTGTAAACAACAGACCAAGCAGCAGATCTCACCTCTATCCCCCACGCTGTGGAACTAAACAGCACCATCTTGTGTACATAAGGTGTCATTGCAGATTACTTTTTATCTTCCATACTCCTTCATGCACCTTGATTCAAAATAATAAAGATTTTTTCAGAGAACAATTTGTATTTACCTCTACAATAAAATCAAAAATGTTTTTGTGTGTGTGTGGTTTTGGGCAGTTAAGCAATAATAATGCTACGAGTAAGTCAGGAGGGGCATTCACAAGTCAAACAAGTTGGTTAAAGCATAAATGGCCAAAACATAATAATGATAGTATATCCAAGAGTAAGGTTTTTTACCTGCTCTTTTGTTAAGCGTCTTGAGATAACATTTGTTATGAAATGGTGCTATACAAATAAAGATTGATTGAGGGATTGATTATGTTCAGGCCCGCTGTCTAGTTGTTAGAAAAAATGTGACCATAGGCCAAACTTACTCGCCGACCCGTGGATACAGGATATCTGTACCGGATACAGCTACTGCTCAAAGCTGACCGTTGCTTCCTCAGTTAACATTTTACATAAAGGGAAAAAAATTAATCAGGAGGAAACTATTTTCACAATGACAAAGTTATTAATGTAAATGTTCTCAGGTTTTGAGAAGAGAGCCATCTGTCTCTTCGCTTCACTCGTTAAGATGGGTATGTAAATAACACATGAACATAAAGTAAACTACTTTCTCTGACTTTTCAGGCTGACTGCAGACAATGACAATGACCACATTGTTTTGTTAACGGATGGGAGAGGTTTATTATTGTGTTTCTTCGTCATTGACAGTATAAACATTTATACTAATAAATTAATAATAATTCACTTTTTTTCACTTTTTTTGTCTACATCTGTAAATTTTGTAATTACTGTACATAGCACAGACTCTTGCACTTTCTGCTTATTTGCACTTCTGGTGAGATGCCAAACCTCATTTCGTTACTCTATACTTGTATATGTGTAATGACAATAAAGTTGAATCTCATCTCATCTCATACAAAGTCTATCTGGGCTACATCCAAAGCCTTAGAGCTAATATTTTAGTCCATGTGGTAATTTCCTTGATAATATGTTTGTTTATCAAATAGCAAAGTGTCTGACATTATTTCCACTCTCAGTGCATGAAAACAGTATAACTAAAACCCTGAAAACAGTCTCATGAGTACTTGGCAGCAACTATAATCCTGCAGACTATTTCACAGTCAATCCAAAGAAGAAAGTGCTGCAGCTCAGGTGCATCACAGCCAGACTCTAATCCAATCTAAAGCAGATGGGAGGAGCAAAGGGACAAACTTAGAGCCGCCATGGCGGGTCTAAGTTTCATTTACATTTGCAAATGTAGCACTAACTTCACCTACTGAGAGGCTCCACAGGCAGCTGTCGGCCTACAGAAGATGGCCTGATGTGAATCCTCTAGAGGGCAGTATCTGACTGCAGCACCAAGGGGCAACCTCCGGTCTCGAAAAATGAAGCCTATGCGGAAGTACAAAAAACTGCAGTTCCTCGAGGTTCCGCTTGAGGCTGGCTGCAGAAGCGCCGGAAGTGCCATAAGCCCACAGCCAAAAAAGCCCGTTTTTACCACAGGAATCAACATGTTTACAGCCTGGTTAAAAAAACGAGATATATCTGATAAGTTGACGGCCCCTTCTCCTCACACTGTGGGGGGGGGGATTTTTTTTATAACTCATCGGATTGTTTTTTATTAAGGAAAACGGCTATGCCCATATTAGGATTGTGACAGTTTGATTGACAGCTCTGCGCGCCGCATCTGTCTGTCGCGTCCATGGTCGCGTCAGGAGCAGGAGCTATGTACTCAACACTAGCTTAATTCGGCTTCATCCCGTTCCCGACCTTGAACCATTAGCTTTCTTCGTCTTTTTTTCTTCGTTTGGAGTGTTTGTTCAGCAAATATCTAACAACGAATATGTCTTGCTGTGCGGTTAATTGTAGTAACAGACCATTCAAGAAGTCGATTCTGCAGTTTTTTCGGTGAGTTATATAGTAGTGTTATATATTTATTGAATACTCTGTCAGGTGTCTGTCTATTTTTGCGATGCTAGCTTGTTTAGCGTTAGCTTGTAAACCAGCCGGCTAACTGTACAATTGGCCTCAGTGTAGCCCATTATTTACGGTCAATGGTTTAGCCGATCTCCCATTCATGCCAAAGATGCTAAAGTTAACATCTCTAGCCAGCACTATTTAATTGGGGAAAAAAGTAATTCCGAAGAGTTAGAAATGTTATTTGTTAAGATGTTGAAAAGAATGAGTTTGTGTGAAGGTAAAGGTTCACCTCGGTGGTTAACCACAGACTTTAAATATGATTATCCAACGTTATGATGAATGCTATACTCAACATAAATGTCGAAATTTATAAATAAACTTTGGATATTAATTCTGTGTTAGTACTTTCCAATAATAATGTAATATGTCATTGTTATTTTTGAAATTATTTTTTTGGTTGACGTTCATTTCGACGGCCCACAAACTCAAAGTTATATTTTCTGTCATGATTTTTATTACATAAACATGCGATAACAAGTACAACTCGACAGGTAGAGATCAGCTATATATTGAAGCTGTCCCAAGTGTGCCATTAGCACAGAATATTGGGAGTTACACCCATGTTGTCCAAACAGCTCCAATAAGTGTGCTGGGGACCAGAGGCTCTGAATATTTTTGATGTATTCCGTGACTTTTTTGTCTCCTCTTGCTGCGACGGAACAGCACTCTCGGTGCTCCTACAAATGAAGCGTTCTTAATCGATATGGATGCTCTTACAAAGAATATAGCAGTAGTAATATATATATATATATATATATATATATATATATATAAATAACATACAGAATGAAAATAACATATACAGTAAAGCAATATGTACAATAAATAGTTTTAAGAATACAGCCATGTTGATGTATGTGAATAAGATAGACTGACTTATGTGTTAACACATTTTGCCTGTAAATAGTTTTCCTCTAGGTGATTCAGATAGGGTGGAGCAGTGGATGCTCAACCTGAGAAGACAGAACTGGACTCCCAACAAGGCCTCTCGTCTGTGCAGTGAACACTTTGAAAGCTGTCACATCGGCACTGATTCCAGGGTATGGAGATATTTTAAATATTATTGTTAAACTAATGAAGTACTATCCACAATAAACTGCTTAATTGCACAGTGTAAGTGCAACAGAGATGAATACAGTAAATTAACACAAAATGGATTTAATGGATAACTGCTATTTTCTGTCTCATTGATGGAAGACACACCCCAACAAGCCTTTGTTGCTCAAGATGTCATTCATGATGACATTACGCTGACAGCGAATGCAGGGGAAGATGTTGGTCTAGGTAGCAGCAATCAACCCATACATCAGAGTAAAAATTGGCATTAGGCCAAAACAGCTAAATTTTGATCTAATGGCCGTATCTCAGGGTGATCACTCTCACGGTGTTTCTCATTCTTCAAGAACACTGAAGAGGATGGCTTCTGCTACAGAGGTAAAGCTCTGTGCAGCTCGAAAAAAGCTGAGGTTAAAAGTCCAGCACACAAGAAGATTGAAGGCAAAAGTTTCTTCAATGAAAGGTTTAGTCAAAGTGCTTCAGAAGAAACTTCTAATTTCATCGGAATGTGCCTCTCTTCTTTCTGATCTCGAAGCTGTTCCAAGAGAGATCTTTCAAAGACTAAAAAAGAAGAAGTCTGTGTTTTCAGAGAATCTGAAACAATTCGCCACAACACTGCACTTCTACTCTCCGAAAGCCTATGACTATGTCAGAGAGAAATTTATTTTGGCTTTGCCTCATCCACAAACCAAAAGAAAGTGGTATAGTAGCATCTCTGCAGATCCTGGATTTACTGTTGCTTCTTTCACAGCTTTAAAAAGTCATGTTGCTGATCAGAAAGGATTAGGTAAGGACACAGTTTGCTCATTGATGATGGATGAAATGTACATTCATAAGCAGACTGAGTTTGGGGGGGGGACCAAATTCACGGCTATGTTGACATCAGAGCTGGTGAAATTGAAAACGTAATTGCAACACAAGCATTGGTCCTCATGGTTGTTGCAGTTAATGCGTCTTGGAAGATCCCCATTGCTTACTTCCTCATCAACAGCATGACCGGACAAGAGAGAGCAAACATTGCCCGAGAGAGCCTAGTTAGGCTTCATGAAATCGGTGTTAGGGTTGTCTCATTGACATGTGATGGACCATCTCAAAACTTTGCAATGGTCAAAGAGCTTGGTGCCAAGTTGGACCTCGTGGACATGAATCCTTTATTTTTCCATCCTGAAGATCTCACACAAAAAGTCCATGTTCTCTTGGATCCATGTCACATGCTCAAGCTTCTTCGGAATGTCTTTTCAACAGTTGAGGTTCTGGTGAGAGAAGATGGCCAGCAGATAAGATGGCAGTACATCAAGGAGCTCAACAAGCTTCAGGAGAAGGAGGGTTTGCGCCTTGGCAACAAACTAAAGATGGCACATATTCAGTGGCGCAATCAAAAAATGAAGGTACATCTTGCAGGCCAACTCTTCAGCAGCAGTGTGGCTGATGCCATTGAGTATTGTGAGAGGGGGCTTAAATATCCCCAGTTCTTTGGATGTTCAGCCACTGTTCAATTCTTGCGCACCATTGATGCTGCTTTTGATGTCCTTCACAGCAGGAACCCACTTGGAAAGGGATTTAAAGCCCCCCTGAAGCCAGCAAACAAACACCATGCCAAGGCCATTTTAGATGAAGCAGAGTCACTCCTTTGTGGGCTCAGAATGACAGGAAGAGACAACACACTTGTACATGTGCACTCTACACAGAAGAGAACTGCCATTTATGGTTTCATTGCTTGTGCAAGAAGTGTGATGGGCATCTATGAAGATCTGGTAGAGCAGCCAGCAGCCCCATTGCCGATACCGTCTGACATACAAACTCAGCCAGGACCACTTGGAGCTGTTCTTCTCTGCAATCAGAGCACGTGGCGGATTTAACAACAACCCCAATGTGAGCCAGTTTAGAGGAGCTTACAAGCGCCTCCTTGTAAGGCATCAGGTAAAAAGAGGCACAGGTAACTGTCTCCTTCGTGACAACACAACCATCCTTGATTCAACACCCGCGACTGTGAATATTGCGCGCAGGTTGGATGTGAAGCCAGTTGAAGTGCTTGTGCCTGAGGATGACAGTCTGTCTGACCTTCCAGATGTTAACAGTCTATCTGAGTACAAAGACGCAGCAATTTCTTACATCACAGGCTTCATCGTCAAGAAGATGAAACAGAAGATAACATGCATGCCTTGCTCACAAGCACTGACCTCAGATGACTCGGTTCAGCATTTCATTACTTTGAAGAACAGAGGTGGCCTCCAGAAACCATCACCGGACATCACTGCAGTTTGCCAAGCTACTGAAAGACGCTTTCAGAGGCTTCTAAAAATCAATGCGGGCAAGCCTCCACTGGGAAGAGGAACAACTGCAGCAATTGTCACCCAGGTTCTTGCAGATTGCTCAGAGAAGAATCTCTTTCCCCAGCTGCACAGCCACATGTTTGACATGTGTGTTGAAGCCAACCATGTCCATGTTTTGGTAAGGATGGCTACTGCATGGTACTGCAAAGTTCGACTGAACCACATAGCAAGAAGAGAGGCAGAAAAAATAAAGGAAGGTAAAGTGGTTCGCAGAAAGCTTACTAAATTAATCAATTTTTATGGAGATTAAATAAAAGGTGTTTGGCCACTTCTGTGTGTGGTTAAAGTACAAAAGTTATATATTTTGATATTGTACATATGTGTATATATTTGTATGTATGTTTCTATTACTGTACAGTATGTTCTTCTACCTGCTTCTCTTTGTTTATATGTGCATATTTGTATGTGTATATATTGGTATGTATGTTTCTATATCTGTACAGTATGTTCTTCTACCTGTATCTCTTTATGTCTATATATATGTATATTTGTGTATATGTTTCTCTAATTGTACAACAAATTCTATTTCCTGCATATCAGAATGTGGCTAACTCCTTTTTGATGTTTTTCTTGCAACATGGGAAATAGTAAGTATAATAATGCTATAGAACAACATTGAAAATGTTACTTGGAGCCTGCATGAACTGGGCACAAGTAACTTTCAATGTCTGCCGTTTAGAAAGTGCACATGTTGACACAAGTGAGCAGAAATCTTGAATGTACAGAGCTGGAATTAAAACAATAATTGAACTTAGAGCCTGCATGTACAGGGCCTTAGTTCTTAGTGAAAAGACTTTCTTTCTTTTTTCTCAGAAAAACCCACCGATTACATAGATGATTATCAGTTGGAGTCTGCCTGAACGGGGCCCAACTTTTCTATTAAAAGTCTACTGGGATGCTACTCCAAGACATAATGAAAATAGAATTCTCAAAACTGTACATATAGCCTTTAAAGAGAAACCTCACCTCACCACTACTTAAAGCCAATGTCAGATAAAAACTGAACACATGGTCAGACTGGTCAGTGTCTTTTAGAGTCTAAGATGATGTTGATCTGTTAATCATTTTCAGTGTCAGATTCGTTGTAGTTATTATGTGCATAGTTTGTGGAATTGTTTGTCCAATTAAAAGTTTACTTAAAATTTAAAATGTCTACAAAAAATACACATTATAGAATTTACCTATAAACAAAAGAAACTTCAAGATGTTCAAATTTAAATTACTAAATTGTAAAATTTTCTGATTTGTATTATAGAGTTCACCAACACATTTTTGGATCTCCAGGTTTGATAAAAATGTTATATATTAATATTTAAGTTATGTATTTTGAATTGATTGTTAATTTTGCTGAGGGTTTTTGGAAATTGTTATTGTTACATAGTTGTCATAAGGTAGATAAACATACTTCCTGATTTATTTTGTGGTTAATTTTGTCCCCATTGCTCACCCTAAGGTTCAGTAATAGTATGTAACTTTTGCATTGTTGTTGTATTCTTGCTTTTCATTTTCACATGTCCTGTGCTGTATAGTGTCTTGTGCGTTTGTCCCGTGTTATATGTTCCTACTCTTGGCCTGCACCTTGTCGTGGTGAGTGGGCTTTCAACCAAGACAGGCCATACTGCATGTTTAAAACCAGAATTTTAACCTCTAATTTTCTCTCTCATGTAGGATGTAGGACACCAGGGAGTTGTGTTTCAACTACCTTGCAAGTGTGACAAGGAAGGCATGGTTCAAAGGTTGAAGGTATTACTAGTTTCAAGAAAAAAAATATGATTTTAAAAATTATTGTGTTTTTAATGTTAGCTTTGTTGTTGTGAATTCCATGTTATATATATCTTCTTCATTTAGGAATATTTATTTCTCATTCCATCGTTGTCTTGATCACTGTCACATGTGAGCTGTTCAAACAATAATCCAGACATGTCCATTTACAATCACTCCTGTTACCTCATAGCATGGCGTACAGCGGTCAAAAAAGTGTAATTGCTCCCCGTCTAGCAACACCTGACACCCCAGTGATAGTTCCTACCTATATAGTTTCACCTTAACCTGAAGGCGACACCTGCTGGAACAATTTGTGTTTGGCTCCTACAGTGGTGTTGTTTGTCATTCCCTGTCTGTTTAATCCTCATGTGTCTCTCCCCTGTCTGTGTGAGTGTGGTAGGTTCATGTTCCCAGGCGGCACCAGGTGCAGCTCGTTGGTCATCAGGATCTCTACTACAAAGACTTCCCTCTGCTTCACCTCGCCGCCAGATTGTTTCACCAGCTCGCGTGGTATTGTACTCTATTGGCTTCTCTGTGATTACTAGTTCTCGTTGTGATAGCTTGTGTAGCTAACCCCTTTTTTCTTCTCTGCCTTGCGTCAGATAGCTGTTTGTGTTTTTTGCTTCACCTCACCTGTGCTTTTGGGACACCACACTGGGATCACGGACACTGCCACTTGGAACCTCGCACTACCCCTCCCCTTGCACTTTTTGAGTCACATTTGGAATAAACTTTTTGTAACTTTATCCTGCCTGTCTGAGTCGTGCTTTGGGTCCAGAATTTGTACTAATCGTATCAGGAGTCTCCTACTAGTTCCCATTTCTTAACCTCTTATAACTGTAATACATTGGTTCTTTTTGATATATTTTATAAATATAAATGATCTGCTTTTTAATACTTCCCTTAATTGTTAACATTAAAACTCTTCTATATTCGATGATAAAGCACATCATTTGTATAGTTTAGATGGGTAAACTAGACGATATTATGTGATATTGATCGAGGAAGAGCACATTTCTGAATGATTTTTAAACATTTTTCTAATCACACGTAATTAATGTAATTTACTCTGGTTGAATCTTGATTTTGATTGTTTTGAGTTTGTATATGGGGACTTCTTGTGGCAGATATTGGAAAAGAAAGAGCAGAAATCTCTCCACTTTACATTATTAGAGACAAAGGAAGGGTTTTTGTATCTAAAGCAAGTAACAAAAGGCATGCTCTAAAAATTATTATAGCTCTGGTGTCAGGGACATTTAGTTGTTATAGTTAGATAGTTATTGTCCTCACGGGCACACATTTACGGCGTGGTGTAATTTCCAGCAAGGAGACTGCCATCGATGGGACTGCAGGAACAGACGGAGGACTGCAGGAACAGACGGAGGACTGCAGGAACAGACGGGGGACTGCAGGAACAGACGGGGACTGCAGGAACAGACGGAGGACTGCAGGAACAGACGGGGGACTGCAGGAACAGACGGGGGACTGCAGGAACAGACGGAGGACTGCAGGAACAGACGGAGGACAGACGGGGGACTGCAGGAACAGCGAGGGACTGCAGGAACAGGAACTCACTCAGGCTTCAAACGTTCATATTTACATAACATATGTATGGTGACAGCTATGTTCATGATGAGCCCAGAGAGCTGCAAAGAGTGGGTGGTTGGTTGGGGGGGACGGGACGCAGTGTCATGGCTACAGAAGCGGATGTTTAACAAAAGTATAAAGAAACTCAACATTAGCCATGGCAGTGGGCTATGAATTTGGCATCTAAAAAAAAGGTCCTAAAGGCCACTTTCAAATTCCAGTGGAGTTTCACTGTATTTGGAAGTGGTCTTTAAGGCAATGAGCAAAATTACTTAAAAATATATCATTTCCCCGAGATGTGAAATGAACTCCATCTTTCAAAAATAGCCCAGGACTGTCATGTCTAATTTGAGGGTGCTCAATCATTGCACCGCTTATGGATCCAACAAATGTAGCCATAACACTGGTGACAAACCTACGAGATTTGTCGATCTTCCCCGGATGGATGCCATGCCTCCACTGGCATCTCTGGGTGAGGGCAGACAGCATGATCTTCATGCCAGGGTGTCGTGCGTGGAGTTGCTGAAGGTCCTCCTTCATCATATTGACCAGCACGACACCACTGACATGTCCCATGCTGTTGCCCCCACAATGAATGATGAGGCCATCCGGGGGAGACCTCTCTCGGAGTGAGTTTTCAAAGAAGGGAAGGAGGCCTTTCCAGCGAAGTCCACCCCAGCCGAACCAACTCATGTGGACGTTCTTCAGGCCCAGGTTCCTTCCCTCTGTCTCTGCAGCTCTCTGAGCACCTCGACGGACACAGCTGTCACCAATAATCCACACGGTGTCTAAGGGAGAAATACAAAAATGTTCGATTAATGCCTCAGACAAGACAAAATGTACAGTTAACTACATGTGGCAGCTCAGGGTGTTTTTTTGTTATTAGCCACATCTGCAGGAATAATATTGAACAAGGTAGCTGCAACTCATAATAATAGATGCCAGTCTTAAAATACAATTTTTTCTAATACTTACAGGTTTTGGCGGGTGAAGCTGACACTCCATCACTGGCCACAGACTCCATGACTTCAGAGGATTCTATAGAAAATAAATATCTTATGATTAATATAAAATATTTATTTTTTAGATGTCATGTTCACCTCATCGCTGTTGACATCAGTAAATATAAAACACAGACATTCCTCTTTTTGTCAGAACAGTAACATGAACTGTATGCTTTGTAATATTGATTTCTTCTGGATGTCTCACATGTTTATTTACAGTTTATGGTCTAACAGTAGGTTCATCAACAAGAACGAAAAGAAAAGAAAAAAAGCGCCAAAGATCTTTCTTTTATGGTTTTCAAACAGACTTCTAAACTTTAAACATGTTATTACACCCAAGTAATGATTTGTAACACGATGTGAGAATTTTAATGTAAAGATTAGCCTCAAACTGTTTCTTACATTTTATGTTACAACTTAACCACTGGTAATAACTTTTTTAAAAGTGTAGTTTTAAAACTTTAATTATATATTTGGGTTGAAGATAATTCGTTTTAACTGTGTTGTAGAAAAGTTTAAGGTTAACTTACTGTTTATAGTTATGGACGAGCGGGAACAAGACAGCAGTAGCACATAGAGCAGTTGTTAGCTATGCTGTGAAGTAGCCTGCTAGGCTGCTAGCGTCGGCGAACTTTGGTCCCGCCCACAGTCCCGCCTTACTGCTGTTACTAGGTTGATCCAAAGTTAGGTTGAGACAGCAAATCCAATATGGATGCGGCCGTCGATTGGACTCATTTTCTGCCTATGTCACAGACGCGTCAGGGTTTGTCCAGTAATATTTACAGTCTATGTGCAGCACTAAATTTGTCCATCCTGGACTGATCCCTGAATATGTTTCAATTTGTAATCTTACTCTTACATTTTATGTCTGAATAAATTCCTCTTTATATTAAAATCTATAAAATTCATCACATCCCAGTTTTTACCTTTTAGCCCAAATACATTACAACTTTAACAACCTTGCAAAACCTCGGTCAAGCCAGCCGCCGCTTGAAAGGTGTTTACAGTACAGGTGCTTGGAGCACCCAAAAAGAATGAATGCACCGCGTATTTCGGCAAAAGATACCATCAATAATAACAGCTGACAGAAAAAAAACACAAAGTTAAGACAAGACAATTGTTGTTCCTCGTCTCCATGTCTCTAGTCCTGAGAATTTTCAGCATATTTTACTGTATAGTTTGTTAAAAATTAAAGGTAAAGTCTGCTCAAATTGCATTAAGCCGCTTTGATATTTTTTTGTCATTTCTGATCTTTTATTTTGAAAAATCTGTGATAGGTGACAAGAAACTTTCAATTGGTTTTTGTTCCTCATGTCCCTGGCTGTGTCCCTGTGAATCTTTAGCATATTTTACTGTTTTGAGGTAATTAAAGGCACAGACCGCTCACATTGCATTAAGACACTAATATTTTAGTGATATTTAATATTTTATTTTGAAAAATCTGTGACAGGTGACAAGAAACTTTCAATGGATTATTTTTTTCTCATGTCCGGTGTGCCTTTAAAGACAGTAAACGTTTTACTGTAAGTTAGTAGGCCTACTGAGACGAAAGTAAGAAAGTAATAATAATGTATTAGACTTTAATAATGCTTTTCTAAGTACTTAAAGACACTTAACAAAGAATAACAACAAAACAAAACAATGAAAACAATAAAGATGATATAAGAGAAGGAGGATGAGAACAGAGTTGGTTAGTGGGTTGGAAAGGAGCTTCTAGCTTGTAAGGGATGTGTATAGTGCTGTTTCCAATTGAAACATAATTGTGAACTAGAATTAGAGAAACCAACAGGAGTAAGCTTGACATGAAGCCAACTGGAAAAATACCAGTTACACTTCAAACACAAGAACCTGGCATGGCTCACTTAATGAGCAGAACAATTGATCAACAAGTGTTCATGGGAGAAAAGTTTCATCTTTAGCATCAGGTTCACTTTCTTCTCAGCAGTCTCTAGAAACAAACGCTTGTGGTTCCTCATATGTGGTTTGCATTTAACAGCAATTAGCCTTCATATGATATATGATATGAAATGATAGTTGATGCTATAAAACTGGATGTTTTATCCTTAATGGTTTACATTATAATGCATTGTTATGAATTTAAATGTAGCATTATAACCCAAACATTAAAACATGACAAGCTGCAACCGTCTACAATCGAGCACTTGTGGGACTATCTGGGAATTCAAAACACAAACCGTGTTACACAACAAACCAGTAACAAGATCATGGATACAGTAGCCATAGTGGTGTGGTTAAAGTATTTGACTTTAAACCCACTGCTCAAGCGATGATAAATTCTAAGCCTGTATTCAGTATTGTATCACTCATTGTCAATATATGCTTAGAAAATGTTTCTAAAAACAGACTGTTTGTTGACAAGCTGTCGATTGTCTCATCTGACTCCTACCCTGTGGTAGCAGTAACAGGCATGAAAACAATCTACAAAAGTTTAAAAACTTCTCACAGGAGCTTTAAGACACCAAAATCCAAATTAAGCAGGATTTAAATTGGTGTTTAAAAAAGAAAAATAATGAGTAAGTTATTGAAAATAAAGTATCCTTCCAGTTGTCACAACTTGAGAAATCAGCCATCGGGATCAAAACTGGGATTTACTTGCTTTTGGAACCAGCTCCAAGTGGCCACTCAAGGAACTGCAATTTTGGCACTTGAGCTTTACTTACTTTCTGAGCACTTGAAGTTGTTTCTTGGTTAACATTAGTTTGGCAGAGTTACAGAAGAAGAATAAAGTACAGGAAAGCATTTATATAAATGCTACTATTCTAATAAAGCATGTGGACAAGAAATACAGAAGTGTTTCAGATAGACTTTTCTTTGTTGTATGTGCAGATCATGTATGAAATGCTAATACATGAGTTTTATTGTTACTCATTTTCATCCAGCTCAAGTCACTCTTCTCTGCGGTGATGACTCTCCTGTGTTTGTTGAGCCTCCTGATCTGGTACTTACTGGACAAGTAAGTGTGAAAATGGCATTTCCCTCGGCTTCATTCATATGCGTATAGGATATCTTATTAGGAACCA